GTCAGAGAGGCTGAGTTTATTAATACTGGCTTGGGTAGATAGAAAAATGTAGCAGAGTGAAAGGACCTTAACATACCAGTTAGCTAAAGGAATTGATGGCCTTTCTTAGCTATCTAGTGCTGCTATAACAGAAATACCTCAAATGGATGGCTTTAACAAAGAGAAATTTGTTCTCTCACAGTCTAGAAGGTTAGAAGTCCAAATTCAGGGTGCCAGCTCTAGCTGGAGGCTTATCTTTCTCTGTCGGCTGTTGGGGAGGGTCCTTGTCATCAATCTTCACCAGTCTAGGAGCTTCTCCCCACAGGAACCTAGGGTCCAAAGGACGTGCTCTGCTCCCAGCACTGCTTTCTTGGTGGTGTAAGGTCGCTATGTCTCTCTGCTCGCTTCTCTCTTTTATATCTCAAAAGAGACTGGTTTAAGACACAACCTAATCTTATAGATTGAATCCTGTCTCATCAGCATAACTGCCGCTAATTCCATCTCATTAACATGATGTTGTTGTTGTTATGTGCCATCGAGTCAGTTCCGACTCTATAGTGACCCTACGTACAACAGAACGAAACACTGCCCAGTCCTATGCCATCATCACAGTCTTGTTATGCTTGAGCCCATTGTTGCAGCCACTGTGTCAATCCATCTCACTGAGGGTCTTCCTCTTTTTTGCTGACCCTCTACTTTACCAAGCATGATGTCCTTCTTCATGGACTGTCCAAATTATGTAAGACATAGTCTCGCCATTCTTGCTTCCAAGGAGCATTCTGGTTGTACTTCTTTCAAGACAGATTTGGATGTTCTTTTGGCAGGATTTACAACACATAAGAAAATCACATCAGATGACAAAATTGTGGACAATCACACAACACTGGGAATCACGGCCTAGCCAAGGTGACACATATTTTAGGGGGACACAGTTCAATCCATGACATGGTGCCTTTCCCTGGGTGGTGCAAACAGTTAAGCGCTTGGCTACTAACTGAAATGCTGGAGGTTTGAATCCACCCAGAGGCACCTTAGAAGAAAGCCCTGGCGATCGACTTCCAAAAAGGTCATAGCCATTGAAAACCCCATGGAGTACAGTTCTACTCTGACATACATGGGGTCATCATGAGTCAGAATTGACTCAATGGCATATGGTTATGCTTTGTTTGCTTTTTTATTTTTTCCACACAAGAGACAAGCAGCTCAAGAATCCAGAAAATATTTTGATAAGGTATGTACTTGTACGTAAGAAGGATCACAAATTAAAGAGATACTGGGATAGTCTGCATGACCAAGCAGAATGGCAGGAGAAAAAAAGATAAAGAAAACCAAATATATCTTAGACCCAGAAGACAGATAAACTGATTTCTGTGATAAGGAATCCATGGATATAGCAGCTTGATAGGAATGCAAAGAGCTTTTACCGCTGTTTTTTGGGTCTCATATACCTGAATAAACCAGTTACTGAAAGGTGACACACTAAAGAGGAGATTTTTGCATTTGCTGGTGTTTTATAATTGAATCCATCACATGCCTACATCTCAATGTCAAGGCTCTAATGTAGATACATCTCCACCAGGTTAACAGCTTTATTTACGTCAGTGATTCTCAAAGTGTGTGCACTATATGTACAGGAACTGAGGCTGATGGCCGGGTGAGGGAAGACATAGGACACTTGATGGTTGAAAAAGCAATGATTCTTAATTATATAGTATCCCACTGTATTGATGTACCATCATTTATCTAACCAGTTTCCTGTGGGTTGACAATTGGGCTGCTTTTTCTTCTTCTCTTTTTTCTATCACAAGCAAAGCTTCAATGCTTCGCTCGAATGTGATATATCTTCGTGCACTCACACAAGTTGGAGCAGAGATGGGGCCAAGACTTCTTGAAGCCAAAACAACTTTGACTCTTTGGGAACGAAGTAGATAATGGTGAATAAGGCTTAGAGAAGAATATACAGAGAGAATTTGAAAGCCCTGATTCTGCCGCACCCCAACCAAAGGGACAGGTAAAGACCAGGGCTTGGAACGGGTTTGTTCTGGTTAAAACCCTTGCTGATAATTTGCATTTCTAACAAATTCCAAGGCCATGCTAATGCTGCTGGTTAGGGATCAATTCTGAGAACCACTAATAAGAGCAGTGGTTCTCAAAATTTATTATACACCACTAATAGAGCAGTAGGAGCCCTGGTGGTGCAATGGTTAAGAGATTGGCTGCTAACCAAAAGGTCAATAGTTCGAACCCTCCAGCCACTTCTTGGAAACCCTATGGGGCAGTTCTATTCTGTCCTATAGGGTTACTATGAGTCAGAATAAACTTGACAGTAACAGGTTTGGGTAGTAGAGCAGTGGTTCTCAATTTTTATTATACATAAGAATCACCTGAGGATCTGGTTAAAATGTAGATTCTGATTCAGTATATTTGGGTGGAAATACAAATTCTCAGCAGGGGTTCGAACCAGGACGAACCGGTTCAAAGCCCTGGTGAAGACCTAAACCCTCCATTCCATCCACTCCCACACTATCTGGATCAGGCTCAAGAAAAGAAAACAGCTCACATTATTAGCAAAGACTAAGTGAGCATAAGACTTTGAGAGCAATTTTTAATTATAATCCATAATGACCACACTTTTTGTTTACGCTATCATAGACGTAGAAAAGATTAGGTTAAGTTCATGTCAGGTTGGCATCATGGACTGTGTATAGGACATCTACCCACAACCAGGCTGTGTCTCAGCCATTATGTTAGAGATGGCGGGAAAAAGGAAACAGCAAAGACTCTGGAGCAAGAGTAAAAAACTAACAAATGGCAAATGTCATTGCACAGTGCTTCTCAGAACTTTCCTAGAGAAACACCCCTTAGAGTCAAGTAGTGTGAGCACAGCCAATGCTCACACTACTTCTTGAAGTCTCTGGTTTTGTCACTAAAAATGTATGAGTGTCCCCCTGCCCCGAAAAAAAGAACTTTGAGAAATATTGATACTTCAGTAAGACATTACACTTTTTTTAAACCTTCTGGCATATAGCCACGCATCTTAATGTCGAAGATGCCCAACATAATGGTATTTTGTGTTGCCACATGGTGTGTGTGACTCAAGTCTTCTAAGCCTGGAAGGTCTCTTGGCCACGTGAGGAGTGGCTATTTAGGGCATTAACATCCTCTCTCAACCTCTGCTTATCTGCAGATAGAACAAAGGAACACAAACTCTCTATTATTGAAGAATATTTAAAATAATATGGCTCTTGCTCAACACGATATGGGTTTTCAATTGGCACGATGCCTGCCCTCTGAGCTTATTCTTAGATGATGTGACACATGTAGTAAACAGGATATAAATACATTAAACATGTCAACAAGATAAAACAGTCTACTTTTTAGAATTGGAGCTCTAGTGGCACAGTGGTTAAGAGCCACAGCTGCTAACCAAAAGGTCAGCAGTTCGAATTCACCAGCCGCTTCTTGGAAACCCTGTGGGGCAGTTCTACTCGGTCATATAGGGTCGCCACGTGTTGGAATCCGCTCGACAGCAACAGGTTTGGTTTTGGTTCTAAGATCATCTTTTGTATTTTATATTTCATTATTTTCCTTAGCGGTTTTGAGGGTTTGTTTTCCACATGTGAGGAAAGACAGAAATTAGAGAAAATTCTTGTAGGAATGAAAATTATCATTTATTCTCTTTCGTAAAGGATTTTGTTTTAAAAAAAAATGTAGTAGAAAACTACCTTTAACAACACATACATACTTACAAACATACACACACAATTAACAGCCAATATTTACCAAGCCCTTACTACGTACCAGGCACGGCTCTCACCATTGCACACACGAATTCGCTTTAAATTAATAGGTATGGTAAACATGAAGCGCCTCACTGAGGGCTACAAAGGGGCCACCCCTACATGAAAGAGGTAAGAGCCATCATGAAGCGTGTCCGCAGCACTCTTAAAAAAATATGGCAGGTGCTCGAAGGCAAAACTAGCTTCTCTCTTAATGTCAAAGTGAAGGTGGCCAGGAAAGAAAGGGAAGCTTATCAATCGGCCCATATGTAAAGTGAGGATAATAATGAATCCGAATTGCTTAACAAAGTGATGCAAAACCTGCGTGAGGCTGGAGAGTTATCTGTGGGGGTTGTGTACATGAATTGCTCCCCCGGCTACTAAGCCCTTTCCCAATGCTCAGGCTTCTCCACAGCCCTTCTGGTTTTATTGTGGCCCCGAGCGTCAAATTTCTGCGGACCGCCTCTCCCAGCCGGCTCCCTCCTCAGCCGACTTCACCCGGCGGGCCCCGTGCAAGTCGGGGCGCGCGCTCCGGCCGCCCGCGGGCCACGCTGGCTGGGCCACGCCAGCCCAGAGGCCGCCTGGCTCGACGGGTCCGCTGGGCTCCTCGGCGGATGCGAGTCCCAGGCCCGCCAACCCCTGAGCCGGCCGAGCGCAGCACAGCGACCAGCTGTGCTCCCGCCCCTGCCGTTCGTAACTGTCGGGAGGGAAGGCGGGTGGTGTGTCCGCACGTCATATGGGTCGCCCGTCTCTTATTGGCTGCGGCGGCCTCACCAGACCGAATGTTTACCTCGCGCG